CCACAATCATGCGATTCTAGCGGAGTTCACTTCGACGCAAGCTAGGCACCACACATCGTCCAAAACGGGGTTTAGATAGGAACTTGCGGTCCTGGGAGTAAGGCCTCGAAAGGAACTCTGGGCACGACACACCCATAGGGAGTAATCGACGCCCAGCTGGAAGAGGTTGGGTAGCCGAATGGTTGAACGACCAACATCGGTGTTTACCTCAATTTTGGGCACCCTGGGGGAAGGACTGAAGTCGTCAGCTGCCATCGTACTGAACGAGCCACCTAGTGAGTCAGAGGTTTCCACAACGTTGAGTTTCGTCACCGTATTCTGCATTGAATAGACTGCAGTTGACTTATGTTTTCCTTTTGACATACTATCCCACCGCTGCCATAAAAAAATGTCGCGTGGGCCGGTGTACCAGAAGGGCAGGCATTTAACAAAGTGGACGAGCGGTTAGGGGCGACGATCACAGACAGTTTCTGTTCACAAACGCAAGCCGAGGCAAGACGAAAAGACGAGACTAGCTTATAACACCTTTATTGAAAACTACTCGTTCAAAACAAGTGCCCAAAAGTCGCGGAAAACATCATAACTCCTGGTATTCTGGGTTTGATTAAGTCCTGTCGGCCAGAGCATTCGTAGTGGGTCTCCCTAGAAGGGGAGGAATTATCGGGCATAAAAATAAATAAAAGATAAAATATCATAACAAGGGCTTCTTAAAAGACGGTTCTAGCGTCGTGCGCTAATTACCTTATTGTTGTCGTTTGGATAAACAGTGAGGGATAAAAATCGCTCTCTATTGGGCACAATAGTCCAACCCATTTATATATAATACATTTTAATGCGAATGGAGAGCAGACAGTCGTTGGGCTAAACTATGACGTTGCTCAAGATGGCGGTAATTCTTACATTGGTAATCTTCACATAATGCATAGCTGCCATACAAGAGAACGACTAGTCGGTCGCCATAAGTATATTTTGTTACAGACTCCTGGAAGTACGAACCAACACCATTTTTGGGTCTTGTGAATTCATATTTTCTGCAATCTCAGACAGACAAAGCAGACATTTGAATTCTGTCGATAAACGCCTCATTTAAGGAAAAGATGAGTGATCAATAAAAAATGCACTTGGTATCAAAAATTAGGAGTCAGATTAAAGTTAGGTCAAGTGAATATGTCCAATATTCGTTGGGATGTATACGACATCAGAAACA